GAATAAATCCTATTATAAAATAGAAGAAAATAAAAAAAAAAGAAACTATGGGCTTCGTTTTTGCAACCATGGGCTTCTTAAATTCCGTTGAATGTCGTCCTTTAAAATCCATAATTATTGGGCTAAATCGAGCAAGTGCTACAGTCAGTCGACAAACGATTGTTCAACTTTTCGAGCTGTCCAGAATTATTGGACCGAATGGTGCAAAATCCTGAATTACTCTCCCGTCACCTTCAAACTCCTACCACCAGTACTTAGTATTCGTGTAATTCATGCTTTGAAAAAGTTCTTCCTTATAGAGACGACGAGTTACAATTTCAGTGATTGGCAGGCTGGTATAAGGCTACAATATCATAATATTTTGCTTTCACTCTTACATTATTTAATGTAAAAACGGATTACTACCATTAATCAACTAACCAAAACAAACCACTCTATATAAACAAAATTGCCATAAAAATTGTGAGACGACGACAGAGCAAAATTAAGTGCCTCAATTTGTTCCTCGTGAAGTGGAAAGAGTATTTAGTACTACTTTATCTCCGGAATAAATTGTTGGCAAAAACCCTTCTTAAGCTCTTATACTTACTCCAAAATAACATTTAAGTCCGTAAACTAAAAATGAAGTTGATAAACCCTCAAACTCCACTAACAATACAAACAAATCTTTCTCACAAACAGGCTAAATGTTATTTCATGTTTACTATCACCTTGAAAGCATGAACACTCATGAATAAGCAAGGTTTATTTGCATCATTAATAAAATTGGAGGGCTTATTTACTTCATTTTTAGTTTAGGGGCTTAAATGTTATTTTAGGATAAATTTGAATGCCTAAAAAGGATTTTTGCCTAAACCGTAGGTAGGATCCATTTCAGCCAACATAATGCATGCGACATTAATTAATGGTGGATATTGAACGGAGTCAAATTTGTTTATTGCTTGAAATGGACCGGAATCTTCTAGGAACTAATATATTTGCAAGTATTGTTAGGTATATGTATCATGGGATATTGGTAGATAATGATTTTAAGTCAAATTTAATCATTACTTACAACGAAATTATCAATATAAGATATTTTTAGTATTTTAAATATTAAGATTATTTGTAAAATTGATTAATTAACTATGTTTAATAAAATTTTGTTGTACATTAATTTATTAAAAATATTTAAATTTATTTGTTATATTATTTATGTTATTTTTAATTAATGATCCAAACGTTTTATTTTTTTTTCATTGCCTTTGTATTATTGGCCTTGTTACATTAGAATTCCCTGTTCCTCAACTTTGGTTTCAAATAATACGTTAACAACCACACTGTAGGATTATCAGCTTAGAAACGACAACATTTTCATTGAGGAATTAGTCCAAAAGGGCGATCGAACCCTCCAAAGTTTAATTTCCAATCCCCTGTTCGGACCCAATCCGGGTCGGGGTCCACAATCGGTTCCATTTCCGAGTTTCGGT